AAAAAAAAAAAAAAGAATGGTGTAGAGAGTGCAACAATGCCTGATTCTTGTGGGAATACTTAAGCATAAAGTGAGAAACTGAAGAAAATCTGCAAACATACGATTTGTGACCTTGGTGTCTTGGCCTTTGGCAATAGCTGTCACCAGTAGTGTCCTCTGTCCTGCTCACTGTGGAGGGCTGTGCTCTTCACTCACTGCCACAGGTCACTCTGGCCCGTGTTCAGTTCTTCTGGAAAAGCAGGGCGTACCGTCTTGGTGGCTCTGCCACAGCAGGCCAGGAAAGGAGATCGAGAGAGTCCAGAGCCAGGGTTCAGCCTCCCAAGGCCGGATGGGGCTCAGAGCGGTCCAAACACTGGTGCTTCGAACTACGGTCGCAGTAATCACAGTCTGCATTAGTGATAGCAAAGCCAACATTTATATTCTGCATTTATAGCTTACAGGGAAATTCTGGGTGCTTATTTGGGAGTCACCCTCGTACCCAAGGGTTATGAACAAGGGCCTTAATTTTCTGGGTTCAAGTTCCAGCCCTACCGCTTACTAGCCTGTAATGTCTCTGAGTCTTGTGTTTTCATCTGTAAAATTTAGTGGAGTTGGGCCTTGAACCCTAGTCCTCAGGCTCCTTACGTGCCTTTTGGCTGAGAAGCATTTTAGCTGGTGTAAAACTTGGATGTTTTGTCTTCATAGTGCTGGCCATAGTCCTTAAAAGCCACTTTTGTCCCCAGCAGTTGTTAACTTCTCTGCAGCCAGTGAAGTACCTTTTCCTCGATTTTTCCTGATCGGTAAAGCAAAGGTTGCAAACTAGTTTTTTTTGAGCATAATACTTTTAAAAATAATTGAGGTTGCTTTGGATTACAGTCAAACTTTCACTTAAAATCCGGGTTTTGACCTCTGGAAAAATCAAAACAGCTGGCACCTCTGGGCTCCACCGGGACTGAGGCCCTGTGGGATGTGGAGGGGTCCCCCCTTCCCCTGATGTCTTAAGCCCACCCGTGCCTCTCCTTGATGTCACTGCCTGGCCTCCGTAGGCCTTTGAGTGTTGCACTTGAGTTTATTACCCTTGATGCGTCAGTGACTGAGTAGCTGGCATTCCTGGTGATTGCCTCATCCATTAGTGAGTGAGTTGGCACCAGTGATATTCCAAAACAGATTATTTTGGAGCTCAGAGGCCAGCCCAGACTCTAGTGAAGGCTTAATTGCTTCAGATATATTTAACATCTAGACGCTAACAAGGTAACCGCGAACAGAAGGAGACCTTACGTTTGAGTTTGAGGAGCGGTGTGCCTCTGGCATGTCACACGGTGACACCAAGGACCAAGAAAGCCTTGACGTTATGGGTACAGATTTCTGCCAGCTGAAAGCTTGGCTACCAGTGTCCTGGGCTGGATGGGTCTCCTGAGCCACTCCCACAGCCCGGAGGCCTCCACTAGAGGAAGCCACAGCTACGTCCTTAGTGGATTCTTGTGCCAAAAGGGAATGCCACAGAGCTCTCTGTAACAGACCCTGTGTGTCACAGCCCCGATGGTCCATGAGCAAAATGCTTGCTAACGATCATCTGGGTGTTTCTCCCCCGTTGTCTGATGTGTGCAGTAAGAAGACATTGGAAGATTGCTTCAGGGTTAGAAATTGCCACCTCTAGTGAATCTGGTTGTTGAGTTTTCACTTCCTTGTTCAGTCTAGGATAATAGTTGTCCAAGAAAAAGAAATCTGTAATTTCCAGAGCTGTGTTGCCGGGATAACTAATGCTGTATCCAGACCACTGGTTCTCAACAGACTGGATAAAGAAGACTGCTCTTGGAGATTATCTGAGTACACAGCAGGCTTACTTCAGTGGCCTGGTTTGATAATATGTTGAGCCTGTGAAGCCTAATGTGCAGGAATACTTTTGACCAAGAGAATGGGGGAGAATTCTCTCCATATTTAGATGGGGTGTTCTGTTGCCTCAAGGGCACAAAACCTTGTTCTCCTGGAAATAAGACTATCCGAGATTGTGATTTGTGAATAATGACGCTTTATTTCTGGAACCCTGTGAGGTTGTATAACCTCCATGGTAAAGATTTTTTATAAGTTCATAAAAATTTTTATATACCTTGGCACAACAATATGAGTGTACTTAATACACTGAACTGTGTATTTTAAAATGGCTAAGATGGTAAGTTTTGTGTTTGCCACAATTAAAAAAAACTTCTACGTAAAAATAACAAAGTATATATGCTTATAGAAAATGTGAAAAAAATAAATAGTCATTCTACTAACACAGCTTTCTGTTATATTTGTTGCCAATCTCCTATACATATTTTTGCACAGTTGAAATGTTGATAGTATTACCATATTATTGTGGTAGCTATCCTTAACATGCATTTTGCACAACAGGGAAATAGCTAGAACATTGCACTGTGGGCCGGAATGCTTGGATTCCAATTCTAGTTCCCCAGTTCCTGATATCTAACAGGGGTCAAGTTACCTAACCTTTCTGTGCCTTGGTTTCTCATCGAAATCAGTGATTCTCACCTGGGCAGTTTTGCCCCAGGGGACAGTTGGCAACGTCTGGAGACATTTTTGGTTTTGCAGACCGCAGAGGGCTGCTACTGGTATCCCACTGGTAGAAGCCAGGGATACTGCCGAACGTTCTGCAGTGCGTAGGACAGCCCCATAATGGATTAGCTTCTCCCAGATGTCAGTAGTGTCTTGGTTGAGAAGGCGTGCTGTAGATAAGATGGAGATAAATACTACCTGCCTTATAGGGTTGTTTTGAGGGTTAAGTAAATTAAAAGTATGTAAAGTACTTAGAGCAATGCCTAGCACAACATGGCTGCTGTGCATGTGTTAGCTATTGTTATTGTTACCGTAATCACTTTTTATTCATATCAGCATTTCATTCTTAAAATTCTGATAAACATTCTTTTTAATATTTTCCAAATCTTTCAGTAAAGTTTTCTTTTACATAATTATTGCATTCTCTTAACGTGCCCTTCTTTTTTCCCCACAGATGAAATTAAAGCAGAAATAGAAAAGCAGAGGTAAGCTCTTCTCCTGGCTGAAATACAGTATTAAGGGAGTAGGTAGTGGCCACGGGAACCCCTCTCTGTGCGTGTTTTCTCATATTGTATTATGGACAGCGCACGCTCTCCTAGCACAGTGCCGGGCACAGGGCCTGACTCTGTGTGTGTTTGAACAGACGCTAGGTTAGCAGGTTACCGACTCGGTAACTGCATATTTGCAGGAAAGGGTAAGGAAGATCAGGTTAATGCTGCTGTCCCTTTTCTTGACAGACGAGGCAAAGCCCTTGCTTGCCCTCTATGTCCGGCTTCTTTAGGCAGGAGGACAGCTTGTCCCGGAAGTGGCTGTGCCTCGTCTCCATGGTCAAGAAGCCAGTTCGTCGCGTTTCAAAACTACAGCCCCGACATAGCTGATGCCGGGATTCAGTCCAGGACGCTGTCAACATAGCCTACCAGTCAGAGACCTTGCTCTCTGCATGTGGCCCTATGGTCTTTTGTCCTAATGCATGTGTTTTGGTTTTCAGTTGTCTGGCCCCGCAGAGGCAGTTTGCAGGCACTTCCAGTCAAGCGATTACAAGTGGGATGGGCAGTTAGAGTGAGGTGTAGAAAAGCAGACTTTTTTCCATTTCCCCTCTCCGCCCTCTCCTCCTTCCCTAGGCGTGGCGCTGCTGCACCCCCGAAGGCAAACTTCATCGAAGCCGACAAGTATTTCCTTCCGTTTGAGCTAGCTTGCCAGTCCAAGTCCCCCCGGGTGGTCAGCACATCCCTCGACTGCTTGCAGGTACCACGTTTAAACTTGATGGTGTCAGGAGGGTTGTCTCCAAGCCACAGGGGGGTCCTTTCACAGGGCAGTGAGGAAAGGAGCCATCCAGTGTATTCTTTATGGAGGTCTCATGAGGGAGGGAAAAGTAAGAGGTCTGATCTGGCCTCAGCTAAAGAAGAATGTGTTTCCCTAGAAATGTTGTGTTGTACTCTCTTATGTGCGGTTTTCTAACTGAAACCTTTAGGATTCGTTGGAAAAGTTGGTATACGTGGGCACGTGGTATTTTTACGCCACCTCTTTCTTGATGGCATTAAAATTCATAATATCCAGTAGAGAAATATAAGCAATATTCATCACTTGTGATAATATTCCATAAAGTCCCTGTGAATCCTGAATAAGCAAATGCTGAACCATGGTTCCCACAGGAAATACAGAGTAAGGTTCCTGTGAGCCTCTGGCCTCAACATGTTCATCAACTGATTAATACATAAATCAGTACATAAGTTTGTTCTTGGTGTGTTTCTGTTTAAAGACACCTTATTTAATAGATGTTACTGATTCATTATCATCAAACTCACGGTCAAAGCACTACAACACATGCCTGAACAAAGCTTATCTCCACGTGTAATTTCTCTGTAAGGCACATCATTGCATTCTCGCTCTTAGGAACGATAGACGGCACTTCAGCAATGTGTTTGGGGCCATCTTTTTTTTTTTTTTTTAATTTATTTATTTTTTTTATTTTTTAGGTTTATTTATTTCAGAGGCAGAGAGAGACAGAGCATGAGTGGGGGAGGCACGGAGAGAGAGGGAGACACAGAATCCGAAGCAGGCTCCGGGCTCTGAGCTGTCAGCACCTAGCCCGACGCGGGGCTCGAACTCACGAGCTGTGAGATCATGACCTGAGCCGAAGTTGGTCGCTCAACTGACTGAGCCACCCAGGCGCCCCTTGGGGGCCATCTTAAATGTCAAAAAAATCGGGACACCTGGGTGGCTCAGTCGGTTGGGCGTCCGACTTCAGCTTAGGTCATGATCTCTCGGTCTGTGAGTTCGAGCCCTGCCTCGGGCTCTGTGCTGTCGGCTCAGAGCCCGGAGCCTGCTTTGGATTCTGT